TGAAGAAAGGCTGAGAGAGTTGGGGTTGTTCAGCCTGGAGAAGAGAAGGCTTCGGGGAGACCTTCTTGCAGCCTGTCAGTACTTAAAGGGGGCTTATAAAAAAGATGGCAGCAGACTTTTTAGCAGGGCCTGTTGTGACAGGACAAGGGGAAATGGCTTTCAACTAAAGGGGGGTAGGTTTAGACTAGATATAAGGAAGAAATGTTTTATGCTGAGGGTGGTGAAACGCTGGCCCAGGTTGCCCAGAGAGGTGGTGGATGCCCCATCCCTGGAAACATTCAAGGTCAGGTTGGAGGGGGCTCTGAGCATCCTGATCTAGTTGAAGATGTCCCTGCCCACGGCAGGGGGGTTGGACTAGCTGACCTTGAGAGGTCCCTTCCAACCCAAACTGTTCTATGATTCTATACAGGGAAGGGCCATTCTGCACACCTTTCTCAACAGGCACCGTAAAAACTGAATAGTCACTTAAGTAAATATTTATCACCTTCATTTATGGTTTCAAATCACCTATCCCAGTGTTTCAAAAGTTCAAGCCAAGGATTTACAGATTCACAGAATCAAGAGACTTGTCCTTTTACTTGGCCTCTCGTGATTAATCTCTGGCTCAAAAAATGTGACCTACCCTCCTGTAATAATTAGGATGATTGGTCTCTGCCTTTGCAATACTACTGCCAGCAAGTCCAGATGGTTGTTTTATCAAGGAGAGTTACCAATGCAGACAAGAAGAAAGGCAAAACAAGACCATCCTTTATACTCAGTTTGTATCAGGTTGGTTCACACCAAATAGACCCTTCCCATCCATAAGTAGCACATTATGATATGGGATGTACTTTGCTTACCTTAATCCATGTTGCAAAACACATGCAAAACGAAAATGTCAATTTAATGTAACAAACAAATAAATAATCAAATAGAATTCTTGTACACAGGGATTCAGGGTTCTCTCTTATGCCCTATCCAAAATAACATCAGCTGAGTCACTAACAAAACCTAAAAATCATGTAATTTTTCAAAAAAAAAAAAAACCCTATTGCAGACTACGCTGAACAGCCTCAATAAATTAGTGGGTCTTTGCATGAGGCTTACTGCAAGATCCTAGTCTAGAACATTAAAAATGTGATTTTACTTGAAGTGCTACAACATAAGCATATCTAGTGTTCTTTTTAATTATTGGGTTTGATTGTTTTGTTGTTTGGTGTGGTTTTTTGTTGTTTTGGGGGGGTTGTTTGTTGTTTTTGTTGGTTTGTTTGGTTTTTTACACAGAGAAAAGCTACTCTGTGCAAAAGGGAAAAAATTAGTATCTTTCTCACACTGTCAAGACTTACTCATATCAAATATTATTTTATGGACTCCAGGAACCTTACAGATTCTGTGTGCTGCTGAGCCTCTTAAAGAAAGGTTGTATTCAACACTGATGAGGTCAACAGAATCTTGCTTTCAGATTTTATATTAATGTGAAAAGGCCCTTAGAACCTCAGTAGCTCTTCAGTTAAATTTGCTTTATTCACTGATCACTTCCAGCATATTGTGAACTCTTTGTGTTCTTGGGGAGTCATACAAACTGAGCCAGCTCCACTTTATGTCACTTTGTTTTATACTTCATTTATTTATTTTAAACACTTAACACACTGAAATCAGTCACCAGTAACTTGGCAATATGACTGCACTGATACCAGCAAGGGCTTCACTATTTCATTGCCAATAAAAGACATGTTTCAAAGATCACAACAGTAACTCAGGATTATAAGGAAGTAGTTTTGAAATTAGAAGCTAAGAGTATAGTTAAATGTAAAATAGACATTAAAACAATTTTGAAGTTATCTTTTGAAGTGTTTCCTCTTGTATTCCCTATGATCTTTTTGTATATGTTAGAACTGCATACGTAGTCCATCCACTTGAATTATTTCAGTACTGCTGCATGCATATACTATTGGTCATACTTGGGTGGCATGAAGAAAACACACAGCAGAGGGCCAGATTTTGGCCCTTAAGTCTGCTTTTTTTTTTGTTTGTTACTATATAAGTGAAAAAGCAACGTCACTATACTTTAAGGTAGGAATTAATTACCTCGTTTGCAAGAGGTGCCCTGAATCACACTGAAGGCTACTGCGTATGTCCCTATTTTCAGGCACAGAAGCATTCCAGATATTACATGCTGGAAGGTAAAAAATACCTGGGAATTTGAGACACAGGTAACAGGCACGTTCCACCTGTAGTCGTAAAAGAGTACTCAAAACAGTGCAGCCAAAGTTGAACTATTACTTAATGAATCCACAACATACATCTAAAAAGCAGTTACAGAACTTGAATTTCTAAAAATATGCAAGACTTGGAAGAAAGTGGAGAAGTCATTCAGAACAGATTCCTAGATTCAGGAAAGGCAGTATCAGAAGGCTAGAGTTGTTCTCAGAATCAAAATGGAATCGGGCACTAAATAACAACTGCTTTTGCGCTTGACAAATGTATTTATATCATAAATAAGCTTTTTACATAAAAAGTCAAAGTCTAGTAAAGGGTGCCCAATTCAGGAACACTTTCTAAGTACGAACAGCTGAATCCCCTCAGCTCCACTGCAACCAAAACACATGTTCAACTGCACTGCTGAAAAGAGGAGAGAACGTCTTAATCTGCTTCCATTTTTTAAAGCCCTTAATCTCTCTTGTCCTTTTCCTTTCAAGTCTCAAATCTCTATCAGTGTGGAAGAATGGGAAGACACTAAAGACACCAAAGAGCAGATCAGTTATCGTAGTAATCATCGTAACTCAACATCTAGTGATCAGTCTGATCATCCCTTGTTACGACGAAAAAGCATGCAGTGGGCCCGACGGCTGAGCAGAAGAGTACCAAGACACTCTGGTAAAACAGCTGAGAAGATAAACCAGCAGCGAATGAACCTTTACAAGAGGTCAGAAAGACAGGAGCTTGCTGAACTTGTGAAAAACAGAATGAAGCATCTGGGCCTTTCTCCAGCAGGATATGGTATGATTACTATAATACTAATGTTTTTATTAAAGTATTATGCAAGATGAACTTATTTTTAAGAACTGAGGGTGCCATAAACAAAATACTAAGTTTATCATAATGGTTTTGGTTTGTTGTTTTGGGTTCATTTTGTTTGGTTTTTTTACTGAGAGAAAGCTTGCTGGAGTGTTTTTAATCAGTTGTATTAGTCCCAATTTCAGATGGAAAGCTCAGAAGGCAGCATGTCAGTCACATTTATATTTAGCACATGATATGTGTATGCAGAATATATAAACATTCCCTTGTCATTGAACAACTGCACCATATTTCCACAAATTGTTGAAATATAGATGAAGACAGAACTGTTGTGAAGTTCACTCACATGTCAAGGTGGAGAGTTGTCTATATGTGAAGGATATTGCATTTTCCCCACAATTTTTAAAATTAATGCCAAAGTGTCACATTAAAGTAATTTTTATGAAGCATGTTTCACTAGGTCTTTAGATGCCATTTTTATCCATCAAGTCCTGCTCCAGCAAGGATGATGCTGGGTAGCTTTTTCATTTGTGTGTGTGGTTTTTTGGTTGATTGGTTTTGTTTGGGGGTTTTTTAAAGCTATTGACAAGAGCTCTGTAACACCTTTTTTAATATATGCACCACAGCTGCCTGGGTTGCCTTTCTATGGCCTTGGCTCTGTAGCATGTTGTATGGAGACCCCCAGAACTATGGGTTCTAGTTTTCCTAGAAACACCAAGAATTTTTAGATCCCAACTTGTTTGTCTGCATAGTAGGTCCAATATAGAGCTTAGTGCTTTCTACTTCAGAAGCACCAACACTGGGGTTCCCATGCTCAATTTTCATTTGAAGAATCCAAAATGTACTGTTTTACAAGTGTGTTACTCTTCATTTTTCAACATAATTATTTTTAAATTTGACTTATCCCTAAAATATCCATTAACTGAAGGTAAATGTGATATTTCCTGCAGAATGAATATTTTTATTTGTCCATTTTAACTACACACATTCTTAATGCAGGGTCAAAACATCTTTTGACACCAATAGCAATGTATTACCCAACAGTAGTTCTTATTGTTGCTATTGATACAAAATCAACTGAATTGTGAGAGAAGGCTGCTACAGAATACATGGCTATAGTTTTGCTCAATCTTTACAAATTAGATATGTAAATACAAGCTCTTCATCCCACACTCCAACTGGGTAATTACTATTCCTGCTTTCTTTGTGGATACTATATGACTCTCTGCAGGAAGATTCAGGACTAAGTATTTTCCAGGAGTGACACAGTCCACAATAACATTTGATCAACCACAAAGAAGTTTTGTAATTGATTCATATTTATACTAGTAACAAGAAAACTTTGTGGTATTCCTGTTTTTCTTTTAAAAATCCTAGTTAAAAGCCAACAGTAAATGTTCATTTCATTATTTAAATTTAGGAAGATTACATACCATCTGCAGAACAGCAAAATCTTGATAGGTAAATGCTTCACCTGATTACATTTATCTGCCCTGATTCTGATTTTTAACTTTTCATGATCACTTCCCTATTTTCTTACAGATGCGCCTCATTATAAAGAAAGCTTCTACTTTTACAACAACAGGAACACCCACATGGGGGGGGAGGGGACGGACAAACAAACTTTAAGAACCACAAACCAGTTTTACACATGCAGTCAGCTGCAAACCTGGGTTGTCACATTCCCACTGCCATCTCCACCCTCCCTCACATTCAGAAAGAAATTTCAGAAGCCTTTCAACCCCCTTCAGAGCTAGCTCACTCCCCACTCATCCCACTACACATTAAACATGGAATGGAAACTTTTAAGTCTCCCTGTTCTTTCAAACTAGCAGGAATCAATCATGCCAGTTAGTACTAAGAAGTATGTTTAACTTCTGCAGGGAGCTATCTCTCTGCATGTGCAGGAACAATGAAAAAACCAAACAGGAAACAAAAATCACAGCTGCTTCTGTATCTCCATGTATGGGGATGATCTCTAAAGCCAGTTTCACATCTTCAGTGTCCTTTTTACATTGATAATAACACGTAAGACCTCCAAATTCAAATTCAATTAACTGTGAATTCATTTAAGCCAACTGAGACACAACACAGTTTTGACTATGCAAGCCTCTAGCAGAGTTGTGATGTTAGCACAGTGGTACAGGTGCTTGTATAACTACTTAGTACTTTGCATCAGTTTCTTCTTACAGAAATAAGCTGTATTGTAAAATACCATTTTAGCTGTATAATTGCATCTATACTAAGAGTCTATGTGAGCTTATCTAATTGTTTTCTAGACAGAAGTACTTATGGTGGTGCAAATATGTGATACAAGCATGTAGAAAAATTACACATGCTAGAAAATACCTAATACAGTAATTTTCAACCTACAGACAGTGTATCAAGAATACTTCATTAACAAAAGATTTAGGAATTGCATTGAAACTAGAATGGGGCTGTTCTCTTTCAAATCATTTTCCTTAAAATGCTGAAGAGAAATTAAACACAGAAGAAACGCCTCTCCTTTTTAGTCCTATCAAATTAAAACTAGTCTCACTGCAGCACCCCAGGAAGTGTACCAAGAGAAAGCTATACAAAAGATACTGCAATGACACAAAAGTGTAGCGAGACTCAACTAGGCAAAAACTAAAAAAAAATTTTATATCAGCCTTCATTTGCAACATACCATTACAAGAATTAGTTTGTCAGAAATCATACTTTTCACAATTTGTTTGTAAATATAATTAATTTGGTATGTTTTTTTTGTCCTCTAGATGAAATGAATGATCATCAGAACACCCTTTCTTACATCCTGATCAATCCTTCTCCAGATACAAGATTAGAGCTGAATGATATAGTGTAAGTTAAAGCACACAAAAAAAAAAATCACAAGACCTGCAAAATTTCTGTTTGCACTTTCTGCCTGAATTTATTTTATTATCTTTCTGCTGGAAAAGAACCCAAAACTTTCCCATGCACCTGCAAAAAATAAAAATATGGATACTTCTATTTAAATAGACACCTAATTATACATATATATTTAAAATACACATATAAATATATAATACATGTTAGTAATGTTCTTACCTCCATATTCTCTCATCCTCCTCTTACTCTGTGTATTTAAAAAAATAATCTAACCAAGTATGCTGGATAGCTTCACAGAATTAATATTCTCATTAAATTCTTGCTTATAATTTAGCTACGCAGTCTTAATAGAAAGATCAACCCTTACAGAATCAGTGTTTTCAAATGGGATTTTATTATTATGTGAATTCAAAGATCGTTAAGTAAACAGCAGTCTTCCCCTGAATATCATGTGATATTCATGCTTAAGATAAGGTCCTGCCATTTGTATTTGAATTAACATAGGAAATTTTTTCACTTGCTTACCAGGAATTTTGCAGACTACATGAAAAGAAAAAAGTAAACACAAATTTGAACTGTCAAGGAAGTTTTGAAAGTCAAGAATTTCAGCTAATTATCTGGCATTGTCTCATACTGAAGTCTGATGCGATTCCTACGTTAAGGTCCTGAGCCATTTCTGCCTCTGCCTTGCTATACTAACACATCCCATCTGCTCCATGGGAAAGAGACCACATAGCCCAGTTGTGCAAGGTCCTCCACATCAGTGCTGACCCACCTCACTGCTTGCTCACAAGGAAGAAAACTGTTTGAACTATTAGCCCTCCTGATACTAAAATAAAATCATCATAGTGCTTTGCAGCACTGTAGTATATGAAAAGCATAGCATAGTATTAACTATATCAAACAGCAAAGACAATTATCATAAAATTTGTTGGAGTATATATATGTTTGGAGTACTATTTTCATTGTTATGGAACTCCACAGTATGATGTGTACTAATATTTCACCTGTAAATTCACATACTGTTACCTAGTCTATCTGGGTGGACTAGGTATCCTGCGTTCCATTTTTCTTTCTTTGCCAAAACAAAGGTACTCAGCAATCCAATATTGCATAATTCTGCAGTGGTACTGAATTTGTAGTGTGCTACCTACACATATTTAGCCTGTAAGCGCACATACTGTTACCTAGCTTGATGGATGTTAATTTCCTGATGTACGTTCATTTCCTGATGTTTAATGAGTGGGCCTGCGTCTCAGCTTAAGCTCAGACTTTTTTTTTTTTTTTTAAACCTGACACAAGGAACATGATCCTTGTATCTGGATAACAGTTTAATGCTTCAATAACCCAGATCACTGTTCTATGTGATTATAGTTCTCTTGACTAGGCAGCCAGTTCACCCTTATGCAATGGGGATTATTAGTGGAGAGGCAAGGAAGAAGTTGTTCTCTTTCTACAGTTCTCTTAGTCACAAATCCCAGAGCAGGTAAAAAGCTTTTTCTATTTGTCCTTCCTGCTGGCAAGCTGAATAAGCTGAAAGGAAAATATTCCTATGTTTTTTTTCTCCTCCTCTCAATATATTTTGCAGACTTCCTCCAGATGGTTACTCCTTCATCACCCTTCTTAGCTGCACTTTTATGCCAACATGGCTTATTCTTATCCAAACCACATATTTCTGTGCATATCTATGATAGAAACCAAAACATGTATTCACTTTAAGTCCTATAGATGCAACCTTCATTCTTTGATTTCCCAAGACAAGTTTGTCTTTTGCATTCACTAGGATCCTACAAAATTTGTATTTTATTGTGGGTATATTAGGTAACATACAACCCTGAACCAGCATATGAGGAAGTTTTCTCAGCTTTTAGAGATAGGTTGCACCCAAAGCAGCATTCGCAGCTGTTGGTTGCTCAAAAGGCTTTCTTGTTAGTCTTTGCATTCATTGGCTTTGCAAGCTAATGCTTAGTATCTTGACCTGATGGAGCTTAAAGGACAATGATTTCACTGCCTGTATTGAACAATTAAAACAAAAGCACTTACATTTCAAGTGATATGTTCAGGCTTTGCCTTAATAACTCCATATTTCATCTAGCCTATTTGCCTTAAGAAACAGGTACTGAACAGCAGTGTTTTCATTCTATAGCCATGAGATTTTTGTACCAAAATGTTTAACATTTTGACTCTCAGCAGAGTGTGATGTTTGTTTTCTATATCGGAGTTTAGTACTTGCAAACGGATCTTGCAGTAACACTCCTTGTTCTTTCATTCCAGAATTAGTACAATACATTCTGTTGCTAGTAGCAGCCCTCTCCTTATTAAAAAAAAAAACAACACACCCGCACACCAAAAAAACCACCAAAACCAAAACCCAAACAAAACCAAACCCCCACTACTGGCTGTTTGTTCCTTTGACATCTTTTGTTTGGTTGGTTTTTTTTTTCCTGGAGATTAACACTCTCCTTATTTGCTCTGGGGTTGGTGTTGATGATGCCCTATAAAAACATCAAATGCAGGAGTGCAGTTTCAGTTCCAAGAGTTGCAATTGGGAGTTCCAATTTTCAGCAATCTGCAGTAACATCCTAAGATCACACATAGGAATTGACCATGGCTCCAGACATGCTTAAGGGAGGAAGGTGACCACTGAGATTTGGCAGCTGTGACATCAGGCCAGTTATAAACCCTCGAGGCTCTAGTCATATATTCGGGCTTCTTACAGCGATAAACCTTGATAAAATTGTAACAGTCTTGTTCACTTTTACTTAAGGGATGTTGTGATTTACTTACTGCAGAATTATTTGTGATTTAGAACTTGTGAATTATGTATTTCAGGGACAAGTCTTTAGTTTACTCTAAAGAAAAAAAGAAATACAGAAACACCTGAATTTCCCCCCCAAATCTAAGAAAACTTGTTCCAAAAAAAAAAAGTCAAGCAAGAAAAGTAAGATTTTTTTCATGTGTTTAAACATGCTTCATTTGGATTTGATGAACGGAATAGAGCAGACTCTTCCACTACTCCTCATTTTCATTGGCTGGATCAGCAAAACAAATAGGTTGTTCTGGACAACGGATACCAGGAGAACATGATCTAGATAGGAACAGTACGAGTAGATTTTTTTTAATTCCGTATTTAGGTCAACTGTTTTCTTAAACAAGTTCACGCTATTTGTAGCAAAAAACTCAGAGAGAGAAAATACTGCTATTCTACTTTAGCCCTGACAGAAGGAGAAACATTAACAAAGCAAGAGGCAGGTGGTGTTTCTAAATCATGGAGATCAGGCAATTCTCCTAGGTATCCACCATAAAGCCAAGGCCCCACAGACTCAGAAGCCCATGCTTTGAGAAGGAGCATGATGCCCTATAGGCATCCTTCAGGAGCCAAGAACGGCCTGTTACTAAATAAGCTGAAAACAGATTTCCCACAGAGCTGCTGTATATGACAGTGATTGGTCATACACTTACTGAACACGTTAGTTCAGTTAATGAGGATTTTCCATTTCGCATTTTGTTGAAGAACTTTGCAGGGTGTTTTAATTAAGTCTGGGGCAAAACATACTCATTATACTGAATGGTAGAAGTTCATGGCTGGTAAAAACAGAAACTTTCTTCAGGGCGACTGCAAAGTAATACAGTAAATCCTTATAAGCACCAGACAGCGTGCACACAATATGGATATTTAATCATTTTCATTTGACTGATGAGGAGGAGATGGACAAACACGCGGCACCAAGATTTCTGAGAATACAAGAGAAAAGATTCTTTCACATTTCATTTTCCCGCATTTCATTTTTCTTTTTTTGCAAAAAAACCAAACACATTCAAAACCAGGATTTGAAATAAAATTTCCAGTAGCTTCAACAGTACTGCTTATCTTTGGACAAGTTTAAGATACTGGGATTTGATCTAGTGGTCTGTCTTCTCTTTAGGAGCACGGTGGCGCTGGAAAGCACTGATTGATAGTTCAGAACACTGAAATGTTAGTTCTGCAGCAGCACAAAGCTGCTACTGCATCAGTCCCAAAAAGCTGTCTCAGATCAGACAGTTTGTCACTTGAGACAGCTGACAAAACAGTGCAGAGTTTACACTTACAAATTAATGGGAACCTCTTCCATCCTTATCCTAAGAAAAGCAGTTATTTTAAACATCTCAAACTTGGATTCAAACTCATGAGGCATTTTCCTCAAGTATTCAGATCTACTAGAAGTTCTTACAATAAGGGTACATCTCCAGACTGTCAGCCTATACCAAGATTATCATCATGAGGCTTTTTATTGTTGAGCATAGTGACAAGAATTACCCATTGTTTTCTCGCAAAATTCTTTTAGAAATTACTCTGTGGACTGCTTGTCCCTTCTTTAAGTCATAATGAATAAAGCAGATGCATAAAGAAATACAGAGTTACTGACAAAAGAGCTGTCAGTCAAAATTAAGGTTTAGCTGTGCCTAGTACATACAGATGATGTCTAGGCAGACAAAATGTGAAAAAGCTTTACTATTAGCATCTAAAGTGAGTGGTATTTCCCAAGTGTCCAAGTTACCCAATAGGAACTAGACTAAGCACTTTCAAAATAAGTCTCTAAGTCTTGCTTCGATCTTTTCAAGATTACAACTGTATGCATTTACTTTATCCTTGCTCACGCCAAGTCTTTAATAAGAGTTATAATTTTTTTTATAGATACTTGATCCGACCTGATCCATTGGCTTATGTTCCAAATACTGCACCCAGCCGAAAAGACAGCTTCTGCAATACAGTGGGACAAGACACCAGGGAGGAAACACAACTTTGATATGTAACTCATCATGAAATTAAGAGACAATTTTATAACACATGTTGTTTCCACTAACAATTTTGAAAACTGAGTGGTACATTTTATTCAGATTTTGGAAACAAAATGACAGTGGGTAAGTGACCAAATTTAGAAGTGTGGTGTCTAGAAACTCTGATTTAAGGGATTGTCAGGCTTGTGGCCTTTTAAATATGGTAGTTGAACTTTGTCAGCTTAACAGAATTATGACACCTATTATTATTTAACCAGTATGAACAAATGATTTAAAAAGTGACAGATTCCATCACGTGTTTTGCTTAGATGCTTCTAAGCAAATTTATCAAGGCAACAGCATGTCAGTGACTAAGCTTCTGACCTACATCAGTAAAGATTATCTGATGCCCGTGGAGAGACCATGCATAATTTGTAGTAGAAAAATATGTTAATACCTAAAGGTGCCAACAAGGCTTTGCATGTCAAGAATCCAGCCTTTGAGAAAACTTTCAATCTCAGCCTGTCACCCATTTATATTAGAACAGGCTAGTTTCAGTCCCATTTAGCCTCCAGGACTTGAGTGTTAGTTCTCTGGGTTTACACAGATCAGGTTGTAATGACACAGCCTCGTCACACCATAGAGGTTGAGATCTGAGGCATATCCACTGACAGATTAGCTCAGAGAAGCCCACCTGGAAGAACTCACTCATGGACGTGAGTATGCTTATCAGCATTGTAAGGATGTTGAAATCAAGTCACATTCATATGAGGAATGACAGCAAACCTGCTATTATTCCTTCCCTTCCTCTTAATTCTTCTAAAACTTAACTAATCTGTTCCATATTAAGTCAGAAATACTAAAGCCACAATTATAAAAAAACCCACAGATGTCTCAGAATGGACTGAAGCCATCAGAAGACCAAGAGTACCAGTTTTAAAAGGAAAAGATAACTGGAAAGTAGGGTTTCTCATCAATTTTTTTATATTGACATATTAAAGTAGCATCATGGTTCAGAAGGGTTCAGTGATTCTGCAGAGAGTGCATTATTGTTCAGTTTTTCCCCACACTCACTAGTCATTTATCATATTATTCACAAGACAAAGTATGTCAAATATTCCCTCTGGGCACTGTGGAAAAAAGAAACAATTGAAACAGCTGTGCAGACTGAAGTCAACTGTTTTTTAAAAAGTATATGGTGCAGGATCTTATCCGAGACCTGTCATAGAAGTTCTCCCAGAAGAGACTGCATGTGCAGTGTGAATAACTTCCTATTTTTAATGTCTTCAGTGAGAAGACTGTATTCCAGTTGAATATTTTCAAAAAAATAAAAGTTTCTTTAAAATGTTCACTCCAAAATATTAGGAGGATCCTTTGTTTCATATTGAAGGCCTTTCTAACAGAGTCTCAAGTAGGCAGACAGGATTCCAGAAACATGCCTACCACCCTTCAGCTGTCAAGCTAGATACTCTGCTTTCAGTGTGATTCACACACTGTTCACAGGCATTCCCTGTACACTGCTTGTAGTGCCCACCACAGATTTAAGGACTCTGCCACAAGGATCTATAGCTAGGACTTGATGCCTCATATTTAAAGCCTACAAAGCAGTAGAAACAAGTAGTCCGGTGTATCCATTTTCCCACCCAACTCAGCAGAATTGCTGCTCAGCTAAATAGTAGCATGTAATGTGACCTGATATTTCTCCAGGTTTAATGAATTTCTAATTGCTCATTAGCCCCAGAAGATTTGCTAAAGCAAACACACAGACAGCTGGAGACACTTACAGTCTCTGAAATGAATGAAAGGCAGTCTTTCTGAACAAAATACTTGGTTCTCTTCAAGATTGCTGGAAGACAAGCAAGGTAATAAAAACTGAACTGCTTCATAAGAAGTTGTTGTTTAATAACCCGTTAATAATATACCACAAAGTTCTGTTATTCAAAAATATACTGCCTTTCATGTTGAAAGCAGAACAGCTTTGCTTCCTCTAGCATATCTTCACAGACAGACCCCATTCCAGTGGGATTTAGACCTTTCAAGAACCACCCTGAGCACCTCTACATTAACACTGTATGAGACAGTATGCACATTTCTTCGGTGGCCAGGGAGGTGATTCTTTAATGGTCATCCTACAGGCAATCTTATGTTCACATGCTTTCTTTTCATCATCATTATCAGAAACATAATACAAGTCTAGTTGGATTGGAGACCAGATTGAAGAACAGTAATCTCTATGCTCGGTGCTGGAGAAGGGGTGATGAAGTTCTAGAATCAGCTCCAAATGACAGTTGAACAGAGGAGTTTTGTCTGGTCATAGTTCACTCAGTAGATAGAGAAGTTTAGAGCTATGATCACTGACATAAGCAAAAGATTCAATCCTAAACCAGCTGTCAAAGGTCAGATAGTCAGATAATCTATATTTGTTTCTCTCAATCAAAAAAAATTATTTCAATCTGTGCTTAACTGTATGTATTTTTCCCTCCTGACTCATTTCTACCAATAACTTGGAGATGCCCATCTTCCCCAACAAACTTAACACATACCAAGCAATTTGGTACCCAAAGTCACAATCCCAGGGAAGAAAGTGATAGCAGATAATTACTTCATTCTCACATGGGAATTCTCCAGCAAAGTGAGACCTACCTATGAACTAGTCTGCAATAAAAAGTCACAAAAAGTGTTTCAGTGGAATGCAGTGCATTTCCTTAACTATTTCACTCCAATTCCAGAACATGCATTAATTCACATACAAAGTAGAAAGCATACAGTTTGAGTTTTAAAAACCTGCAGTGGAATGAGTAAGTGAGATTTTCATGATATTTTGACTTGGAAGAGAACAGTTATTTCCCAGCATACGTATTTCCCTTCCCACAAACAGCTTCCTACTACAACTACTCTTTAACAACTTTAAAGTATACAAGTATATATATTACTGAATATTTCTTATACATCTTTGTTTACCAATGCACCAGTAAGATGCTAAAGAACTAATAGATTTCAGGCTTCAGCAGTGGAGGAGAACTGAAACGGCATCAAGTGCACCAGAAGTAACACACAATTCTGTGGTTCCTAGTCAACACAAGCATAAACTCCCACAGCCTCTCAAGAAGCTTAAAGAAGCAAGTATTTCTGCTTCATAAAAGTTAAAAACAAGCATTTGAAGTTTTTATGAACTAAAGTTTTCTATTTGTTCTATAAAATTTAGACTGTATACTGTTACAAAAAATTGCAACTGGCCCATGCCAACCAAGGAGAAAGGCTGGGATGCAAAGTACAGAATTAAAAGAATAAATACTTATTCATGTGCATGTGGTGTCCCAGCCAAATTGGGGCACCCCAAATGTGGTTCTACATAGGGCTCTTATACCTTCAAAGCATTCAGGTACAACATGATTTGACTAATCACTAGCACCCACACTACCAATTACTAATCCTAGTAAAACTTCTCTAGATCATTTCTTATTCCTTCTTTTGTCCTTTCGCCAGTATGGGCTGGCTGATGAATGATAGCCAGTTTCTTTGGCAATTGTTTAGCTTTTAACACTTCAGTATTTACTCCCACTAGAAGTTATAAACCCTCATTGCTTCCTAACTGTCCAGTGGTGTGGCAGACTCCAAATGCAAACAGAGAATCGGTGTATTTATAGTCTTTTCTTTGGACAGCTGGCAACTCTTTGTTAACACAATCAGTTCTGCTGCTTGCACACTCAGCTTCAGGCTGAGTGGTGAAGCCTCCACTACCTTATCTTTGGTAGTTACTGAATAACCTGTAATTTGGTTACCATTCAGATAATATGAGGACCTGTCTACCCATAGTTCAAGATCAGGATCTGGAAATGGCACATCCATTAGAATATTCTTGCGGGTTTGGGTTTTTTTTTTTCCCCAGTTTCACAGGTTATTGCTGCACAATCATGATGTGATGCTCCTTCCCCAGGTAAAGGGAGTAGAGTTGCAGGGTTCAGCTTATTACATTGCTTAACATAAGGTACAGGTGTCAGCTATACAAGATTCCATGGCTACTAACAAATGATCAACATATTGTATCAAAAACAGATCTGTTTTTTAAACACAACATCCTGTAAAACTTTTAGTAAAATTTTAGAACAATAGTGGAGGACCCAGTGAAGCCCTGAGGGAGCTTTGTCCATGTTAGCTGTATCTTTCCCCAGGTAAATGCTGAAAGGTCTTGAAAGTCCAGATGAATAGGGGTACTGATTTAAGGTAGAAAAACTATCCCCTGTATGTATTAGACAGGGGTAATTATGTTCATTGGTCAAAAGATTTCAGACCAAATTCTGATAAGAAGGGGAAAATATTTTATATTCAGAGGCTCCTATAGTGACTGCACAATAGGTCCCTGCTAACTGTCAATCCTGGGTGAAATGTAGCTGCCGTGTTGCATAGAGCGGGGAAAGATTGCACCATAGGATTCAGAGGTCCTTTTGGGAGGCTTTTTTTTTTTTGGTCATACCAAGTATAGAGTCATAGAGTCATAGAGTCATAGAGTCATAGAGTCATAGAGTCATAGAGTCATAGAGTCATAGAGTCATAGAGTCATAGAGTCATAGAGTCATAGAGTCATAGAGTCATAGAGTCATAGAGTCATAGAGTCATAGAGTCATAGAGTCATAGAGTCATAGAGTCATAGAGTCATAGAGTCATAGAGTCATAGAGTCATAGAGTCATAGAGTCATAGAGTCATAGAGTCATAGAGTCATAGAGTCATAGAGTCATAGAGTCATAGAGGTTGGAAGAGACCTCCAAGATCA